ATAATAAACCGCTGACTAAAAATAAAGTAGATAATAAACTATTATGCTGAATCTCATCTACACCCACATAATAATTTTGCCCTTCTTTTATGCTTATTTCTTCATTTACTGCAATATTCTATTTACTTTGTAGAACTTACCTAAATGGGAAATCTATTAACATGGTTATTAATAATCATACATAGTCTTATTTTATCGTATTTTTTTCACCTCCTTATTCAGCCGGTAAATGATCTATTCGCTGATCCAATCGAGCTTGCTTCAGCACCAGCTCCTCGATCTCAAACCGGCCGGGCTCGACGCTCAGGAACTGGTCACTGGCCCTCCATATCAGCCTACTCATCCTCTGCTCCTATCTTCACCTATTCCCCAACCTCCTCAGCTTCTCCCCTCTCACCATCTTCCTCTATAGCTTCCTCCATCCTACCTTCGGGCGTTTCCAACGCTCCTAGTGCATTCTCCGATTCCAGTTGGCTGGTCTTGCTGTCAACACGCCTATCGCCATCTGGCATTCTTCGTCGTCTATCCACTTGTCTTTGGTCTTGGCTCAGCCTGTCTGACCGACAACTTGCCTTTTGTCTCGTCTTTCTCTTTAGTCTAGCCACTCTTGGTATGGCTTGTGCAATAAACCACTTCCTTCTTCCACCAGTACCTCTTACTGTTTCATCCCCAGCTTCATCGGTACCCTTATCCATACCGACTTCCATGCTTCCGTCTACTTCTAAGCATACTTCGACGTTAACCGAGAACTCTGTCGGAGCTAGTCTGAGAGCAGGTGTCGGCATCGGTATCGGATTTGGAGGTGGTCTACTAGCAGCTGCTAGAGTAGCTGGGCACCATGATGATCAGCCTGCTGACAGACAAGTTGGCTTTCAATTCGAACAACACATGATCCGTTCGAATCCATTGACTCAGCCAGGCTTCACAACTGCCCCCTCACTTGCTGATCCGCATCTCGACTCTTTCACTTCTCTTTCTCCTTCCCATTCTGTGGCTACTTTCAGTATTGACGGAGGCTTTGCTTCTTCGCCCAGGGGACGTCGATCCACTTCTCGACCACACTTTTTGCGTCCACGTCCTCAACTTCGAGTGACGCCAGTCGACCAGCTGCATTCTTCGAGGCATACTAAAACTTACGAGAACCCCCGCCGAAGCCGTGTAGCCATGTTTGACTCGCCCGCAATCCATATGGACTGACATTTTCCCAGAAACGCAACAAGTAAACTTAATTGTTTGCCTGTTAGATCACTCTCTTTCTTTCCTGCGTGCTTGTACGACATAATATTAGCATTTCCTGATTCTTTGAAGAGCTAGATTATTTAGCGAGCTTTAGTCTGCTGCTCCAGTCTACTGAAGTTTGCCAACTTTCTTTTTCTAATCGAACCAAATGTACACTAGAGCAGCTCACATTCATCCTGATCAGCTACTCTTACTGAGGTCCGAGTGACAACATTCACTGTCGATTTTCGTACTTCTCTGTTGTTAAGTGGGTTATTTGCACAGAGGTCGATTGCCCAAGATTATGCAATACATTTTTTTCTCCTTTCACGCCTACGAATTCTAAATTTCTGATATTTTATCACCGTATTCTTCTTCTGGCAACTAATGCACTCAATGTGCTTGCATTTGATCAACAACACCAACTCGCTTTCATCTATCTTCTCTGTCTGGTCGTTTATTTGATTTAATTATACCTTTGTCCCTCAAAACGTGATTTTCACTAATCTGATAATCAAAGTCCCAACTGGCATGCGCAAACTCTGCGAGGCACCTTGCTTCTATTTAATTCTCATGCTTTTTCTCGGCATCCTTATTTTCGGTCCGGTGGCATGCCTATATTGTCTATCTGCCAGTAATTTTATCCCACTCAGCTTTTGTGATCTATTCTTGGCTTCGCCATCTCTTTTTACGATTTCTTTTTTAGTGCGTTTCATTTTTCTTGCTCTCTACTTCTTACATGAGCAATTAATATGTTTCTTTCCAGCTAATTTATCCATCCCTTGCCTTTCAAAAGGCCTCATTTCAGCCTGTTTATTTGGCCCATGAGTCCGTCATATAATCTGAACTCATATATATATATATATTCATGACTTTTGATGTTTGATTAAAACGTTCCTTTATTAACCGCCTTAGTAATCCTTTATTCTTTTCACTTACATCTCCCACAATGCTTACTTTATTGCGTTTCTCTGGTGATATCTCATCTTGCCTTCTATTACCATTTTCTTTTCGTCATCTATTTATTCTCTGATCTTGGTAACCGTTTTTCATGTTCCATAAATTATCTTATGGGCCCATTTCATGTGCGCCTATGTTTTTTTTCATTTGTGAACAATATTGTCCACTTTCACCTGCCTTGGCCGTTTTCCTCTCTGAAGACCGATGACAAGTTTCACGGTGATTTAACATAATCTCCATCTTTCTATGCTAATATTACCACTTTAAATGTTCTTAAATGTAACTTTGTCTTCCTTCAGGTAAAAATACCAAGTTAACTTTGCAAATAAGCAAAGCTATA